TGGGGCCATCCACGCTGGGGCATCTGTGGAGAGGTTGGCCCCAGCCCTGGTGCCGGCAGGTGCTGTCAGTTTGTGCCCACCACTCGTCCAAAGCCCTTGGCCACTTGCCACTCCATGAACAGATTTCCAGCCTCTCTGTCCTGCTCAGGAGCCTTTCGCTTGGGAGAGCAGACAGGAGCTGAAACCCTCGCCTGGGTGTCCCTTGTGGGGGCTTTGCCCTCCCAGCACTGCCACGTGCCGGGGCGGGAGGTGCTGCTCCAGGGCCGTGGGCTTCGGTGCAGGTCCGTGGTGGGGAGTTGGGGGCGATGGGGGAGCTGTCGGTCAAGTCTGAGTGCTGGGATGGACACAGACAGGGAATCCCTGCTGCAGGGAAGGCAGCTGGGGGACAAAGGGCTGTAGCTGCCTTTCAGTGTGAGGGTCTTGCTGTGCCAGACTCAACTGATGTCTGTCCTGAGTGTGCACAGGGCCACCGAGATGTACAAAACCACTGAGATACGCAAAGCCACCAAGATATGCAGGGCCACTGAGGTGCCCAAAGCCACCAAGATATGGCAGGGCCACCGAGGTGTGCGAAGCCACCAAGATGCGCAAAGCCACCAAGATGCGCAAAGCCACCATGATGCACAAAGCCGCCAAGATGCCCAAAGCCACCACGACGCACAGGGCCACCTAAGTGCACAAAGCCAACGAGACAAGGACCGGGGCCAGGGAGGAGCAGGGAGCAGGCTGGGGCACCAGAGGATGTCCCCAGGCTGGGCAGCCTGCGCAGGAGCACCCGGCTCTGCCACGGCACCGGCACCCACCGCCACGGGGCTGCCTCCCTGCGCATCACCGGTGCCGGCGCTCAGCCGCGTGTCGAATCCATTGGCATCAGCAGTTCTCGCCGCGAGCGCCTCGCCTCCGCTGGGCCGATCTTACAGGATCTCCGGCTTACACGCCGCTTAGAGAAGAATAATCCCTCTTAGATTTCTGCACCTCTCGCTTGTCCTCGGGTCGGGTTTTGAAGTGTTTCCTCCGCAACCACAAAGGCTGGAGCTTGCTCATGCTCTGGAGGCAGCTAATCCCGTGCCTGCAGGAGTGGCGGCTTAGGAAAGATGGGCACATAGCGGCACGCTGCCGTCGCCGCCACCGGCCCCCTCTCCCAAGCACCCGGAGGGGCCATGGGCACTGAGGGCTCTGGTGGGTGCAAGGGTTTGCCCTGCTTGGCCAACTGCATGGATCCCCCATGCAACGGTGCACGCTTGCAGGAGGGTGTCTGGCACAGGGACCCTCTCCCTGTGTGCAGGGACCCTCTCTCCCCGGCACGGGGACCCTCTCCCCCGGCGCGGCTGGCTGCTGCTCACGCAGCGCCCCGCGAATCCCACGCTGAAGAGCTGCGGCACTAACGAGGCGGGTAATCCCCTCATCAATAACCGGCTGTAAAAGTGGAATTATATCCCATCAAGCGGCATTGAATACTGATGGAACAGCTGCAGGGCCGTGACGCTGTGCCACCCCCTTCCCCAGCCTCCGCAGCCATCCCCGGCGGCGGGTGCGAGGGGATGGGGAGACCCGAGACCCAGTGCCCCCGTGGTGCTTCAAGCCCTTTGTATCCTCCAAGGGTGGACACCAGGTCTCCAATGCACGGAGCAGCCCCTCACTGTGCTCTTGGGATGAGGCAGGACCAGTGAAGGGCAGGTGTGATTTGGCGGGGGGGGGGGGAGCATGCACCTGCAGGGACCCCAGGGCAGGGGGTGCGGACCCCCCCAATGGATGGGGCTGAGGTCCCACCGCTGCCACCTCGCACGCTCCCGGCTATAGCCGTGCTGGCAGAGCAAAGAGATTTATGGCAAGTGGCGGGGAAGGAGGGGGCAGAGGCGGCGGTAAACAAGCACCGTGTTTGTCACCCACTCTCGGAGCTGCGTCTCCGTGCATGCTGCGGCCACGCAGATCCCCGTGTCCCCTCCAGCCCCTCGGTGCCCCCGTGCCCACAGCCACCCGCCCCACAGCATCCCCATGCCAAGCATCCCAACCAGGGAGCTGATGCTGCCGGCACGGGGACCCCACGCAACACCCCAGGGCAGGGGACTAGCCAGGAGCTCCGCTCTGCTCAGCTTCTCTAATTAACCAGTGCTAATTGCCCGGAAAACAAGTCATTTAAATCATGCTGAGGGCAGCAGTAGCCCTGGGGTAGTCCCCAGCCCTGGGGACACGGCCAGCACGGGCTGAGGGACATGTGTCCCCACCAGGGAAGTCTGGCACCCGCCTGCACAGGGACCCGTGTGGCTGAGCCTGGAGGTCGCTGGGGGCTAACAGCCATGCCGTCGGGAAGCCCCCAGCATCTCGGCGTGGACCCCCCAGCCCCCCGGACAGGGAGGCCCCTGCTGGCATAACCATCGGGCTCACCGGGTGATGCCAGGCTTGAGGCTGCAGTGGCAGCTTGGCACGAGGAATTCGGCCAGGGGCAGGTACTACGCGTGGGAACCGGCACGCACCCACGTCCCTCTCCAACCCCTTGGGTGACAGTGTCCGGACGCCGTGCTGGCTTTCTCCTTCCTAAGCAGGGTAATGCCTCGCTTGTGCCATGCCAGCACCTCTGCAGGCAGCGCTCATCCCTTCCCCTCGCCTTCTCCCCTTTGATTTCCCTCTCGGCAGATTACATTGAGGATGAACTTGACCCCGCGAGGACCGAAGCATCTCTTGAAGCTCCGGGCTAAGCCCGGAGGGGTTACGGCGGGGGTCACTCTCACCGCAGTCATTAGCATGCCTCTCGGCCAGGCAGGGCACCCTGCTTTTGGCATGTCACGGTGTCCCCAAGCAGGCATCAGGGCTGCGGGGGGCATAAGACGGGGGTGAGCTGGCGTTTCGGGGGGCAGAGGAAGGCTCACCCCGATTCCTAGCCACGCCAGCCTGCCCGGTTAGCCCATGGGCCAAACTTGAACCGGTCGGGGTCCTGCACTGCCGCGAGCTGAGCATCCCAAGGGGGGGCTGCCCCAGCCCTCCCCGCCGGCACGGCTGCTTTACATCCCCCCAGCAGCTTATCTAGCTCGGGTTTATAAATGTTTGAAATTAAGGGCTGGTCCCAAATTCCCTCCTAGGCAACAGTTGCTAAGCGAGTTTTATACACAGGCTCCTCGTGACCGAGGAGCGATGGAGGGGCCCCCCTCGCTGGGTTTGGATGGAGGGAACACGTGTGCCGGTTGGCTACGCCGCTGGCAGGGGGGCTGGCCGTGGCCCAGGAGCCGGGACCACCCCCAGCCCTGTCCCCCAAAACCCCTCAGGGTGACTTCACCACCCTCCTGCCCCCTCCATCCCACCCTGGCAGGGGGTCAGCACCAGCCGTGCGGCTGCTCGAGGGGCTTTTATAAAACTCCCCTTTATTGCCACCATCCCCTTTGCTTCTCTTTTTTATTCCGCCGGAGGCCACAGGGCTGCCGGTGCTGCGGCCGCTCCGGCATCCATCTGCACGCCGGGGTGGGAGCGGGGTGCTGGCGGCACCGGGGACCCCGCCACGTGCCGCAGAGATGCCTGAGCCCCCAGTCCGGCCACCCGGGCTGCTCTGACTCACCCCAGCCTCTGAGCCGCTGGCAAATTTCATTACAATAACAAGGTCTGCGGGCGAATTAATTATTAACGATTATTGTTTAATATTTATACTGCAGTAGAGCTACAGGCGGGCTGCTCCGGCCTCACCACTTCCCACCGCTGGCTGTGGTTCGAACGATGGTCTGTCCCGATCTCGGGGTACAGACAGAGCTGCCTGCGGGGTCCCCACAAGGATGCTGCAGTGGAGGGTCCTGCCAGAGGATGGGGCTGAGCGGGGCTGGGGGTCCCACTGGACCCCCCGCAAACCACTTTGGGTCCCTATTAATCCTCCCACGGTGCCAGGGCCATCACGCTTGCTGGCAGCATTGCCATGAGCGCGGTGGCTGTGCCGGGGCTGTCGGGTGCCGGGGACACCCTGTGCCGGGGCAGGGGCCGTGGGGGGAGGCAGGGCAGGTCCCTCGGGGGCTGGTGGGGAATTTTGCTGCCCACGGGGCTGGTCGGATGCAGGACAGGGGCAGGGTGGGTGGGGGATGCCTGCTTGGCCCCATAACCATCCCCAGCACCCTTGGGGGGTGATGCTGGAGCAGCAGAGGGGTCTACCCCCACTTTGGGGGTCCCCCAGGTTGTCCCCATGGCCAGGCTGGGGAGGAAGCCCTCCTCAGCACCTCCTGTCCCTTCCAAGCACCTTCACTGCCATTTGGGGTAAATCTGTGTGGATCTGGCTGACCCAAAGAGGGAAATCCTATGGTGGGGTGGCTGCGGGGCACCGACGGAAAGGTCACAGATCCAGCAAGGAAAATGGGGACAGCTTGTCTGGAGAGGATGGGAAGAGGGAAGGGGATGGGATGGGGAAGGAGAAGGGGAAGGGGAAGAGGAAGAGGTGGGGAAGAAGAAGGGAAAGGGAAAGAGAATGGAGAAGGTGAAAGGATGGGGAAGGGATGGGGATGGGGAAGAGATGGGCATTAGAAAGGCAAAGAGGAAGGGGAAAAGGAAAGGGGAAGGGATGGGCAAGGGGAAGAGTTGGCAATGAGGAGGGCAAAGGGGAAGGGGAAGCAACACAAAACAACAGCCGTGGTGCTGAGACGCTGTGGCAGGAGCTGCGGGTGGCACGTGGTGATGCTGTGACCTTTGCCGGACACGCCAGCGCTCCCAGGGTGCCGGCAGAGATTAAAGCCTTTGCTCTGCTCCAACCTGAGCTCCCGGGGAGCACTGGGGGCCCTGGGCATCCCACTGGGAGCCTGGAGACAGCAGAAGGGGCTGGTGGGGGACACACATACCACCGTGCCAGGGTGTTTCGTATGACGGGGTTGGAGCCTGTTAGCTGGACCACATTCCCCCTGTTTGCCATTCCCTGTTCTTGCCCAGCTCTCCCTGGGTGCTGTGTAGGGTGCTGTAGTCATGCCCACCCCAGGGACACCCCCAAGCCCCCTCCCTGTCCCCTCGCTGAGTGGCGGCTCTGCTCTGCTTCCCCGCAGGGGCTCCCTCCCGCGACGTCCTCCTCGTCTCAGCCATCATCACCGTCAGCCTTAGCGTCACCATCGTCCTCTGTGGGATTTGCCAGTGGTGCCAGCGCAAACTGGTAAGTGTCCCTGCGACGGCTGGGTGCCCGGGGTGGGGAGTGGGTACGGGGCATCCCTCCTCCCTTCCCGGGGTCCTGGGGTGTGCTGTGACGGGGGTCCCGGCCACCCTTTGCCCCTGGGTGACGGCTGGGGTGGGGGTCCCGCTGGGTGGGAGGCAATGCCCATCACCGGGGCAGCGGGGCAGCGGGGCTGCCGGCAGGCAGAGGCAGTTGCCGAGAGCGGTTTGCGGCGGGTGGCGGCTGCAGCTTTTATTTTGCTCTTTAGGAGACGTGATAATTAAATGTTTGGGCGAAACTGTTTGTGCAGCATAAAGGGAAGTTTCCAAATACATATATATATATTTGTGACAAGCAGTAACGATCTGGCCCCTGTCCTGCTGGGCTCGCTCCTGCCTGGAAGAGCCCCGCGGGAAGGCAGCCAGCCTGTCCCCGGCAGCACCGGGCACCGTAAACCGGCCCCACTGCCCGCTGTGCCCCCCACCCCAGCCCCCCAACACCCCCAGGGCACCCGGCTTCCCTCCCCGAGCCCCACTGCAGCAGGAGGGCCTTTGGCTTGGGACAATGCTCCATCCTGCCCTGCAGCCTTCCTCCTCCTCCTCTTCCCGGAGCAAGCCCGGCACCAGGATCCGGCCGCATGCTCGGCCACATTTCCTTCTCCATCAGATTCAAATCTGGGTCAAGTGCTGCGATGGCAGCAGCTCTTCCCGTGCAGGAGATGCCCACCCCGGCGATGCCGGCAGTTTCCCCCCGAGCCGTGGGAAGGCGGTGTTCCCTTGGGAAGGGGAGAGGAGGATCTGGTGGGGACGAGGCAGCGTGGAGGTGGTGGGACCCGCCGTGGCGTGCGGGGAGGGGAGGTGGGTGGGAAAGGGGCTTCCAAACCCGGCTGGTGCCGCCCAGGGAAGGGCAGGCTGGAGAGGGAGGTGGCGGAGGGTTAAGCACCGGGGAGGAGAAGAGCGGATTGTGCTGAAGGACGAAGCTGGCAGAGGAACAAATAAGTATAAATTGGCTGGGAAGGCGTTCAGGCTGGGAATGGAAAAGCGCGTCCCGGCCGGCCCTCGACGGCGCACGGAGCTGGAACTGCTGCGTGGGAACCGCGGCCAAACTCGCCGAGCGCCTGCTGGGCTGGCCCCCGTCTGCGTCCGCGCGGCAGCCCTGGGTTGGCTAGTGCTGGGAGAGCATGGGCCAGCGGCCGCTGCTGCCGTGTCCCCACAAGCCCTCTGCCGTGGCCAGCTGGGGACAATGCTGAGCACAAGGGCTCAGGGCTGACTCCCTCCAGGGTGGCCCTTGGGGGTCCAAGGAGGTCGGGCATTCCTGTGCCTCCCGGCAGGATTAGCCCGTGGGCATCCAAGGAAGGAGGAGATCCAGCATCCCTGCAGCTCCCGGCAGGACGAGCCCACGGCTGTCCAAGGACACCTGTGCCGAGGGTGCAGGGAGTTCTTTGACGCAGTACTGCCGAGGAGCCGGCTCCGTGCGGAGGTGATGAGGCTGGGAAGAAGGAGAAGGGAGAAATACTCTCCGTTTCACGGGCAGGCTCCACACAGGGCTGGCTCCTGCAGGAGGGATGCTCGCAGGTCCAGGGCCACCGTGGTGGGAGGGCTGGTCCACAACCCCAGCCTGCTCCGGCATCTGCTCCCATCCCAGCTCGGCCTCCCAGCACCTGCGCAAAGCAGCCTCCACTCCTAATCGTTTGCTAATTGGCATTAATTGCGCTCTTGTCCGCCCTGGATCGGAGCAGCACGCTGAACCCGCCGTTGGAAATCACAGTGAAGTGCCCTGATTACAAGTCCCAGTTAGGAGCGAGCGCCTGCTTCATTATCATATGGCAGCTCTTCCCTTTCGGTGGGGAAGGTGAACTCAATTAATTCAGGTTCAATTAATCCTAAAATTACCCGCTCCTCCCCCAGTGAGGCTGTGGAAGGGTACGCAGGCAGTGGCTGCTGCTCTGTCCTTGGGGCGATGCAGGGCACGAGCCCTCCCTCTGCCCTCCAGCCCCTTGGGGACGGTGCCCGGGAGCCAGGGTGGCCAGGCCAGCATCTCCCCGGTGCCTTTGTGGCTCGTAAGGGCCAAGGGATGAAGCTATCAGGAGTTTTGCTGCCCGGCTTGATGGGATGGAGCCTGGCGACCAGGAGGCTGTAAGGGAAAAGGGCAAAATCCAGGTCAAACCCTCCAGCTGATGGAGGTGCAGCCCCGGCGGCTCCCATCCCTGTCCTCTGCCGCGATGCTCTGTGGCTGCCGGTGCGGTGGGGGTGTCCCTGCTGCCCCCTGAACCCCCCTTTCCTCTCCGCAGGGTAAGCGTTACAAGACTTCCCTGGAGACCGTGGGAACTCCGGACTCCAGCCGAGGCCGCAGTGAAAAGAAAACCATCAAGTAGGTGCCAGGGTAGGGGGGAGAGGGGCAGGGGGCTGCGGCGCCGGGAACCTCTCTGCCCACGGGTCTGGCACAGCCGCAGCCCGCTCAGCACCCTGCCCTCTGCCACGGGCCATCCCCCAGTCGTGGGTGCCCTCCCCGCCTGGGGACCAGTGCCAAATGGGTGCCGTCCCTGCCGGCAGCAGCAGGGAGAACCCTCCTTGGGGACAGAGGTGGCCGTCCTTCTGCTCCCACTGAGGAGGGGGCCGTGCCCAGCCCAGCCCTGGCAGAGCAAGTTCGGCAGCGGCTGCTTGCCCGGCTCTGTCCCAGGGGCTCCAAGGGCTGCCGGGGAGACCGAGCGATGGCTGGTTCCCACCGGCGTGCCAAAACATCGCCGATCCCTGCTCCTCCTGCAGCTGCCTGCAGGGTGGGATGGATGGGGCGGAGGTGTCCCCAGGTCCCCCAGCCCCAGTGGGAAAGGGGCTGTGGGAGACCGGGAGAGCTGGCGGGTCTCTCCAGCACCCTCTGGTACCTCTCCTGGCTCACCCACCGAGCTGCGGGCATGACCAGACGGAGCCACGGGGCCCTCAGCCAGGGTGTCCCCAGGGATGTCTTGGGTCTGGGCATGCAAAGCCTGAGCCCTGCCCCCCTGATGGAGCCCTCCCTGGCCCCGCTGCCTGCGTGGCTGGCACGGCTCTGCAGACCACTGGCATCGGGGATGCGACGGGGAAAGGAGAGAGGAACCGGGGCGTCTCACGGCGCTGGGTAGGGAGTGAGGTGGGGGGTTGGCTGCCGAAGGGGGGGGCTCTCCTGGGCACCCCAGTTCCAGCTCTGTCCTCCGCACTCCCTGGCACCCCCCCAGGGCTCTTGAGGGGAGCCAGGGCCGGACCACCAGGAGGGAAATAGCCCCTGCCTGGAGTAAGGCTATTGCAAACCTCCTCCCTTGGCTGGCCTGGCCTCCTGCCCAGGGTATTACTGGGGTGCAGGCGTCTGGGGCTACCTCGGGCATCCCTCCACCTGGGCACAGCCTGGCCAGCTGCTCCTGGCCACACCGGCGCTGGGACCGGAGCGGGAGGCACATCCCGTCCCGACGGTACAGCACACGCGGCTTTCCCTCCCCAGCTCCGGCAGGGTCCGTGCAGCCGGGCTCAACGCCAAGCCGCAGGTGGGCATCGACGAGGGGTTGTGAGCGGTGGGCACCGGAGGCTTTTCAAATCCCCCAGTGCCGGCAGGGAGCTGCTCCGCTCCACAACCCCTAGCACGCAGCTCGGGCTGGGCAACAGGGCGCTGCGGGCAGGTTGCCAGAGCCAGGAGGTTCAGGGTCTGTGCCGGCAGCGGGCTGGTTTGGCAGGAGGGGACCCGGAGGGGTCTCCGATACGCGGCAGCATCACGGTTAACCGAGCAGCGTGCGCTTCCAGGACCCGGCTGTTGAGGAGGCGAGGACGCACAGACACACGTGCCGAGGATGCACGGACACGCGTGCCGGGGATGCCGTGCCGGCACCGTGCTCGCTGGCACCTCTCTAACCCCACACCATCCTTCTCTCCTTCCCAGCTGGTGGAGCCGCCCGCTCCTGTCTCTCCGCAGCTCTGCCCTGCTCCGGCCATCCGTCCGTCTGTCCGTGTGTGTGTGTATGTGTGTGTGTCGGTGTCTGAGGGGTGGGCAGCCGCGCGCCCCGTCTCTCTCCGCAGGATCCCGGCGCTCCGGGGGCGGAGGGCTGCTTTTCCTCCCCTCTCGCAGGAATTCAGCTTCTCTCTCTTGTATTTCCCTTTTCTTTCTCCCCTGGTCTCCGGCCGCTGTAGCGATCTAGACAGAGACTTTTGGAATAACAATGACAACACAGTGCAGCAGAAATGGAGCTCCTACCCTCCCAAGGAGTTTATACTAAACATTTCACCTTACGCCCCGTACGGTGATCCGCGGCTTTCCCTCAAGTGAGTCTCTCCTTACCGGGTTTGCTCCATGTAGTGAGTATATGGGCAGCACCCACTCGCCTTCCTCCTCCTCCTCCTCCTCCTCCCGGGCTCCCCGCACGCCACCCCATGGGCAGCCCCATGGAGACGAGCAACCCCTCCTTCCCGCTCCCCCCCGGGGGCGGCCGGGGCCGCGGCGGGTCCCCCCACCTCGCGGCGGCGCAGGACGGGGTTGTGCGTTGGGGGCACCCACTCGGCGCGGGGACGGGTCCCCACCGGGGCTGGGCTG